TTTACTATTATAATTATTTTAAAAGCTGATATTTAAATGATTAATAAAATTTTCTATTATTTTTAGAAGATATTTTATACTTATATAAATTTTACTATAAATTAAAATATTTATTTATAGAGATTACAACTAATATCTGTTGTTGTCCATTACTATTTCTAAATTTATATATTGATTTAATAAATCTGCCTAATATCCTTTGTACAGGGAGTATGCAATCTCTTGATTCTGGATAAAATTTCTTATACCAGATTTCAATATCGCAATGATTATTATCCTTTAATAATAGATAAAATCTAGGGTAATATATAGTCATACTATTTTACATAAGCTAAATAGTATATATTATCATTATATTTATACTGTAAAAAGAATTGTATTTGTCCCAAATAAATATCAACTGATTTACCTTTCTAAGCAATGAATTTTGCTCAGATATACAAAAGATTGATATAGCTACAGGCAATCTTTGATCAATATATTTCTGATTCTAATTTTAATCTTCCATATTGTGTAGCAACTTTATTAATTGATAGTAATGTTAATTCATAGAGAATTGTATAATAATCTTTTAGATTTTGATAAACATTTTCTGGAAGTTGTACATTTTCATATATTGGTTTTATCATCTCACTGGAATATCTTTCTGATCTTGTTATAATATTTGTATCAATTTTATTTGCCATATCAATATATGCTATTAAATCTTCACTTTCAAAATTTTTAGTCATCTTTAAACTTCCATGTACTTTTTTATTTAAAAGTAAAAGAACTTTGTCCAGTGGTAATTCGTCATCCTTTCTATTAACTAAACTTATCCTATATTCTACCTGTGCATTTTTTATTAGAATACGTATGAGTTCTAGTTCTATTGACTGATTGCTTATTAGATAAAAACCTAATAGGCTATTCATCCTTTTGAATGAATAGTACTAATAAGCGTATAGTAGACTATAATCAAGACAACATTGCCTAATATGAAGAGAAAGATGAATATTTGATGATATTAATTCTAGACCATAATTTTCCTCAATTAACTTAGCTATTTTTATTAATCATCTATATGCTTCATCTAGGTTACTTTATTTGACTATTCGACTTATTAATGAATTACATGCACTAATGAAATTAAAGAGGATTTCTCTATCTTCAAGATTTAGCATATCCCACATGCAAGGAATAGCATAAACTTAATAGAAAATTCTCCATTGATCTGCAGTTAATCAGCTAAATCCTTCTGACCCTTGCGCTATTTTTGATGGAACACAGCCTATATCTGCTGGAACTTTAGTACTTGACATGTACTTTTCAATAATTTTAAGTTGTTCTTTGCTAAGTTTATTATTATTCAATAAACATTGCTTCATTATCCATTTTCTGATACCTAAAAATAGACAATGCATCAGGTCAACAACTATAAATTTAACTGGATCAAAATATTTTAGCCGATATAATTCTAACTATCTTACTCCTGTTTTAGATACATGATCATCTCTTTTCTGTTTATTTGTACAATTTAACTATTCTTTCGCTGCATCAAAATATTTTGTTATGTCTACCGGATTAAACTATTCATCCATATTTTCAAAACTACCATAGTGACTTTTTTTAGATAAATTATCATATGTTGCACATTTTAAACAGTGATGACATTTTACTGTATGATTTGCATAACTACAAATCTTTCTTGCAGCTGGAACATCGTTTAATGATAGAATCAATGTGACATAAAATTTGCATCCTTTTTTATATTCGAATGTTGTTAATAAATCTATACTGAAAGCAAAATCAACTAACTCGTCGACAATTGGAGCTAGATAATTATTGATTTGATGTTTACTTGGTTCGTTTGGACCAGGAATAATACCTAAAGTTAATATATTATTTGGTTTAAATCGTTCTTCCCTTGGTAAATTACACAATACTCCATAAATTACCCTAGTACTGTGAACTGTATAATTGAATAGTTGAAACTAATCTATATTAATTACTAGGCCGATATGACTATCAAGTATATCATTTGTAAAAAATGGTGTAGGATCTTCTGGATTTATAGCAAAATTTTTTCTAATATTTCCCTCATATATGTCAGAGAAAATTCTATTCTGAACATTTCTATTACTAGAATGCCGCAACATATTCTCAAAGCCAGCCTTCTGATACATTATATAGAGCTGTTGCTTTATACTTCTAACTGGATAAATTTTCGATAGTTGTAATAAGATACTATCCATTGTTTTTAGCTTTACTGCTAATGGTTCATTGCATGCTGATCGTTGTGATTTATTTCGATGATAGGGATATTCTACATTTGTACACTTCATACTTTCTGGCTTATTGTCTTGAACATAGTCTTTAATTACCGATGGGTCATAGAGCTTATGACACTTCGGACATATAGCATACTTTCTATATTTGGTTAAAATCTCTAAAGACGATTTCGCAGTATACATAGAAGTCAGTAGCCTATCGGCTTCATCAATTTTAAAATACAAAAGTAAATGCCGAAGAAATTTAATTAATGATTCTGTACCAGTATCAGGAATATTGTAACATTGTTGATATTTCATTATCCATAAAGTAATTCAATCATTTGGACGATTGTTATCAATATCAAATAGTTGTTCAAAAATTTCAGGATCGATTTCTGGTGGAATAAAGTTTACAGGATCACGACTTTCTTGCGAATCACTTGAAGATTCATTTGAAGAATTATTTGAAGAATTATTT